GTTTTCCAACATAATGTAGCATGGCCACTATAGAAAGTCTTTTGATATACACACCAGTCATTACCTTCGCCAAGAAGGTTATGTTTTCGTTGGCGTTCGTGTGTCTGTGTGTGTGTGTGTGTGTGTGTGTGTGTGTGTGTGTGTGTGTGTGTGTGTGTGTGTGTGTGTGTGTGTGAACACGATAACTCAAGAAGGCTAAGATAGATTGTCTTTATATTTGGTAGGTGGGTAGGTCTTGATGAGACCTGGAACTGATTAGATTTTGGACCCCCTAGCGGCTTGTTACGGTACTGCAGCTGAACTTCCGGTTTTGATATCTCGTGATCTGGACATGGTAGGGTCACTAAATTTACAAGATACACAAGATACAAGATGTCTTTATTGGAAATCGCAGTGTTGCCACTGAATTAAAACCAATTTACATGTCAAAATAAGGAATTCATTAAAAGCTGGAATTCATTAAAAGCTGGAATTCATTAAAGTTCACAAATATGGACAAATTATACACACACATTACAAAAAGAGGCAATAGCAAGTTACTGTCCGTGCTGGTTTACAAGTCTTGTCATGTACGGCACACAAGAGTTCAAGTACCGCTTCGTTCTGGCTTTCGGACAGTTCAGTTTGTGGTTGTTGCGTGTTAACATTGAATCATATTATTTTCATTTAATCAGGAAATGTTGAATTTTGGTGTCATTGGTATCTAGTTGGCGAACCAACGAGAATCGGCCAGTCCCCACTAGCTGTAAACTGGCATCAAGGGTAACAATAAAAATCATTGCTTTTAGGACGCGTGTATAGTTTCGACAACTTTATGTAATGTATTGTTGCTAGGTAACCTGGAAACCACTGTAATGTAATACCATCAAGAAGAAAGAAGGACTGAAACGTCCGTCTGGTGCCTCTACTCTCCCGTAAGTAAGGACGTGTTGGTGTCAAGCTACATATATCATCTTTACTCAGTAAAGAGTGTAGCCTAGACATTGCACGTATCCCTCTCCCCGTAACTGGACAACAGCACTGGTCGCTAGGCGGCCTCACTGATACGTGTACCTGATATACTCTGGGAATGTGCATAATATTACCGGAAGAAAGCTCTGAGTCGCGAGAAGAGCAACATTATCTTCAGAATTAAAGGGTAGGGTAAAGAGCGGCAAGTAAATGTGGTATTGATGGGCGTAATGGTTAGGGTGTTTCGCCTGGAACCAAGCAGAGGACGGCAGATGACAAGATCAGCACCAAGGACGCCACCCATCCTTTCCTTTTAGTATGGGCTCCAGTCAAGATGTCAATGTGTACTAGGAGTCTAGGTGAAAGGGAGGGCAAACAGATGTACATGTACCCATGTATCACACAACAAGTTCCTCTCTTTATTCTGTTGTTGCGGGACACAAAACCTTCACTATGACGTGTACATGAGCGACAAAACTGGAAAACGTCTAGGAGAGTCTGAGAGATCTAAAGATACATGATCACCATGTATCAGCTGCAGTATCCGACGCTGAAGCATTGGAAGGGCAGCACCTAACAACTTTAGACCGTAAGCATGTTTGTTGTACTCTGGTCGTACTTAAAGTTAGTGCCACAAAACGCCACCTTGCGGAATGTGGATGAATAAACGAGTCAGTTGTGGAGCTTTGATTGCCTTTTATGCCATGTCAGAGTCTGTAAGTATATGTTATAAATTGTGTAATGCCTTCACACACTCTGCAAGCAGAGATTACACATGCGTGTGACTGGCATGGGAAGACTACGACCTTCCTTACATGTAGTTTTATATGCCCCGTTTTCCTAGGCCAAGGTACGTCGCATACAATGTCGTTGCCTAAGTGTAATGCGAATAATGTAACATAGAAAGTCTGACATAAATAGTGATCTATGATGAATACCATGTAGTGCTTGCGTACTCCGATAGGTGATGCAGGTTTTCAATAACTTGGGCAACGGCTCAGTGATTGTTGTCGCCAATATCAAAATTACTATGAACAAAATTTCTTCACACTGTGAAGAAAATGAATAGTGGGCAATTCTCCCACCCGCCCCAAATCTCACGAAATAACATTGTTCAAAGTCGGTCGGGCGCAAAGTCACATTGTACTGCAATTAGTGACCTAGGTCAAAACACTTAGCGCAGCTTATCCTTGACGTCGTCGCTACGCGGATAGCATTATTTAAATGTTTCCTTAGCAGATGTTCCGATGATTTCAAATTATCTAACCATATTGTTTCTTTGTCAGTTAGAGTGCTGTGGGGTGGTTCAATTATTGAAATTTCTGTCTCCGTGGGTTTGAATCATGTAATACTAGTATGACCCACGACACACTTAATAAGTTAATACTAACCCCTGTGGTGTCTCGTGACTGACGCTTTGGTCGTAGACTGTCGGCAGCCACCTGTAAGGGGTCCGTCTTCTATCATCTTTCCCGAGGTTAGTGTCGAATACAAATGTATGTATGACGAGATATGCGTTAAGTTAAAAAAAGTTAAAAGTTAGCTGAGTTGTAATGCCTTCAAAAGGGAGAAACAATAAGACTTTCAGAAGCGATGAATGAAATGCGTTTTGACATATAGTGGCTATCGCCACCAAGACAGCATTTGAAAGCAAATCCTCTTAGGTCCTCTTAGTGTTATCCATTGACATGGATAAAAACCCTTCGACGTTGTTTGGCGGTCACGCGTGGTGCATGTATATGGCGCAGATACTATATTTTATGTATACATGTACATTGAAAGACTATCAATGCTTCCATGTAAGCCCTGCATTATCTAGCTTTAATTAAGTGCTGTGTGATGTTGTGTAATGATATTTTGACAACGTGTTCCACAAAAGCCCTCAGAGTCCTGGAGAAAAGCGAGTGTATTCTATATTCTAGGATTGATATGGATGAAACAATTAAAAACTAATGTCTTTACCGACTTTCTTGTATAGTGCAATGAAAGGGTATGTCACCCCGTGCGTAATCAGCGGTATACAAGACCCCGCAAGTCGAACACCAGTACCTACGTTGTCGACGAGATGGATTGTCGTTCTGTAGCTACTAGTATCATGCCCAGTATCTTGTCACCCCATATATTTGTTTTTACCTATATTCAGGTGTAGTTATACCATAACTGTCTTGGTTGTATTTGTTCGTACAGAATAAGGCTTAATATGTAGGGTAACCAGTGCATGCAAGCCATCGTCACTCAGCCTATTTTGCTGTTGTTTTCCTCACACGAATGTGTCTAAGGTGTTGCTAAGGTATATGGAACGGGAGGGTTTTGGTTCCGGTTGTGAACAGCGCTCTTTGTTCACCACCAAAGGGGTTTTGCAAGCCAACGTTTCGTTAATCGTCTATCGTCTTCCTCAGTGCAATACTACATGTAACTGGTTCTGCTTGACTGTGTACTGCTCTCAGGAAATTTCATTTTATTCACCTCACTGTCAAAGATGCATATGGTTATATTTTTCTAGAGTTAACCCTGACAAAGACTCCTGTCTTTGTGGTAATTTGTCAACAGTGTTACCCCAACAAAAGTGGTTATACCTACATGTTGATACAGTGCCACAGTCTTATGTACGCCTGCACAATCCCTGTTTTGGTCATAAAACATGTTACTCAGACGGAGCCATCTCCATGGAACTAATACCATGTTGGGCGATGTAATTAAGCCGCCCTGCACTTAGTCGACTGAAAATTGTCTTATTGTTACCCTTAGCAGTAATGGCAAATAATTCATCCCTTTGAAATATCAGGTTATGAATCAATAGAGCATTGCCATACACAGCACGGTGTATTCCATATCACCAGCCAGAACGCGGGTCGGATCGCCCGACGAAAGCCGAGGGTGATGCGGAATATACCGGACTGTATTTTGTGTCATACCCACTCGTATGAGCCATTTGTTTTATCAGATCTCAACTGCGCCCGAACGCTCTTGCAATATATTTTTGGATCTGCAGCTCCACATAAAAGCCAGATTTGAACAAATTATAAGCTCGTATGCTGTCGGACATCTTGTCGAAGATGACTGCTAGCGTCGAGCTGGCGTCGTGAGCATTACGAGTACAACGGACATTTTACTTACTTTAGGTTAATGAGTAATTTATAAGATATAAATAAGTCGGAGTTACTGATTGCTTTTACTCTCTCACCCCAATGTATGTGCTTAAGCCTGGGATATGTTGATACAGTGCCACAATCTTATGTACACCTACACAAGCCTTGTTCATAAAACATTCCACTCAGACGGGGCCATCTCCATGGAACTGATTGGTGTATGACGTCCAGGGTTCATCCCTGAATTTAGTCGACAAAAAATTGTCTATTATAAGTACCCTTAGCAGTAATGACAAAATGGTGCACTCCTTTCAAATACATGTATAAGATTGACTGATGGTCAAATTCCTTTATTTCAGATTTCTGACTATGACATAAACTGTGACGAACTATGGCATCTGGACACAGCAGGGACACAGGTAAGTCACTTGACAATGTGCTATATATAAAGATTAGTAATACGATAGCAATAAGACAGAGTGGTGGTCGTGTGGCGTAGCGGCAGAGTGCTCGACTCGGAACCAAGAGGTCCCGGGGTCGAACCCTGACATGCCACCGATCTTGTGCCCTTGGAAAAGGCACTTTACACGACATTCCTCACTTAACTCAAGTGAAAAGGAGTATTGTCCTGTCCTGTATTTGTACTCTGTGTTGGTGGGGGCATAGTAAGTTGATATAACTTATCATTTATTTTGCAAAACCAGACATGCATGGGCCCGGACTTTTGAGCCTCGTTAGATTTATAGTACATGGACAGTGTTTGGGTTTAGATTCATATACATATAAGGTGACAGTATACAATTAACTGTGACTTGTGTTCTGATATTGATCTGAAGAGTAACACTGACATGTGATAAAGACAAACTAATTGTAATTCATTGCAATTGCGAGTCAACTTTGTCTCAAGATGCACAATATGGCAATTTTTGGTGAATTTTATTGCAGGTGTGAGAGAATACTTCAACACTGTTGTAAAACATGTCAAACATGACTGGAAAGAGCTTGGTCATCATCTAGAAGTAAAATATTCAGAAATAAGTGCAATAGAGCAAAACAGACGAGGAGACCCAACTGAGGGATGCCGGGATGTCCTTGAAAAGTGGGTGGGAATAAAGGGAAAGAGAGCAACTCTAGCCGCTCTGCAGCAAGCACTCATCGATTCCAAACATAGGGATGTTGCTGAACAGCTAACAGGTGAATATCAATTATCTGTTTTAAAATAGTTAATTGTTATTGAAACCAAATTATGGTATTCTGACTAACTAACTTCAAGCTTAGGGAGAATACTGACACCTCAGTAACCTTTTTTTTTCTGCTCTGTCAAATATGATTACAATGTCTTGGCTGGCTAAATCTTTCCCTGAGCAATCAAACACATTGAAATGTTGGAATTAAATATTTATGATGGCATTTGATCATGGACATGTACATGTACTCAACGACATATACATGTCTATTAAGATTTGCTGTTTTATTTAAAAATTCAATTTGTGCATTAATAGTACTGCACAAAAAGTTCCTTGATAGAGAGATGGTAAACTATAATAAATTGCATTTGTTGTTGAACAGGCCAAACTCATGGCATAGACAGTGTTCCTCTTGGACCACTTAATCCTGTAAACCAAATACACTTGGTTGGATATATCATGACAAAAATAGTAATTAACTTCGAACTCTTTTCAGATTCACAATCACCACTGCCACCACCTCATCACTCTTCAGATACACAACCTCCACCCATGCCCATAATAGTAGAACTATATTCCAAAGTCATGCCAAATGTTACGACTTCCGAGGACTTAGTCACGTATTCAATAGCTAGGGAAATATTATCAAAAACAGAACGGATGAAATTGACAAATGAAATTATAAAGCTTATATGTCAGGTGAAGGATTCTGTAACTACTGCTACAGAGCTCCTAAACACTGCAACAGCAGTTGAACGCCTGCAGGAGCTTGGACCAAAAGTCTGTAATGTAATGCCTGGCAGTGTTATCTTCCATGTACGCTGTTATGATTTGAGTAGCTTGGCTAAGGTTTGGTTTGAGCACAGGAATGGCAAGTTGGCCATCACATTACGGGAATCCTTGCTTACTGAAGAGATCTTACAGCTGATAGGTGAGGACATTGAGACAACAGTTGAGACAACCATTCATCCTGATGACTTCAAGAGGTCTCTCATGTATCTGCTCAGGGGTAGACATACTACTGGTTAGTACATCTCATATCTAGCACAGTATTTTACATATTCCTATAATTACAACCTGTGCATTTTATGATGAAGCAGCACCAATATATGAAGATACCATGTTCATATATATACATCTGACTGAGTCCATTAGAGACAACACATTTTGTTGGTATCATTCAGCAACATGTCCCAGGATAAAGTTCATTATGTCCACTGTGGTCTTGCATGGATATGTGGTGAATGACATTGAAGTGGGAAATAATCATTATATTCTAAATTAATGTACCATAAAGCCTTATTTCAGAGTTTTGTTATCTTCTAAATTAGTCACAAACCTGTAATCAACTCAATCTATTATTATTTTATTTAGTAAATTGAAGGAAATGTGATATCTATCTATCTATCTTAGACTAATAGTATCTATCTATCTATCTTAGACTAATAGTATCTATCTATCTATCTTCAGGTTAATTTAAACAGTAAAATCAAACAAAATATTCAACTACATTTGGATAGCATGCAAGATTACATCAACCACACAAACATTCTATTAGGCTCTTCTGTTGTTAATACCAAATCAAATATCTCATTCTTGGTTGTTCCAACCTATAATAGTTATTCTTTTTTATTTCAGCAATAGCTGAGTATCCAGTCTTCATGGCAGGTAGACAGCCCATGCTGCTGGCATCTACATCGTTGGATGCACTTCACCTCATCACAAACAGGCTACACTCTACCAAGGTGGCTATGGAACAACTTGGTCCCATCTGGCAAGTGGCATGGCAGCTGGCAAGAGAAAGGCAAGACCTACAAAGAAAACTCAAGGACCAAGCTCTAAAGGCCATGGAAACAAGAGGAGATCAAAAGGAAAGGAAAGCCACATCCCAAGATCAGGGGTACACAGCACATCAACCGGTGGAAACAACACAGAAGGACATCAAGCAGTACGAAGCCATTGCAACTTCCACTTCTACACAGCAACAAACTACATTCTTACTAGTTGGCTGTAAAGGTAATGGCAAGAGCCACACAGGCAACACCATCCTGGGCCAGGAGGTCTTCAAAGTCACTCGAAGAGGAGGAACAGAAACGTCCAGCCTGTGCAGCAGCAGCCATGAGGTTGATGGAGTCAGTAGGAAGGTGACGGTAGTCGACACCCCTGGAGTCTCCCAGGAGATGACAGAGTCTGAGTTTGAGGAGCTGGTTCGAGCTGTGAAGATGGTTCCTGAGGGTTTTGATGCCATCTGTCTGGTCTGGGACTACAACAACTCTGACAGGAATGAAGACAAGGAGGTCCAAGTGTTCCAGTCCCTCCACAGGCTGTTTGGTGATGGACTGTCCGAGCATATTGTCATCCTGGTCACACATGCTCAGCAGGAAGATATCCCAGAGTTCATCGAGAGTTTGACGGTCAACATGAAGGCAATCGCTGAGAAGGCAAACACTGTCATTGCAATAGATAACAAACTTAAAGGTGAATCGTCATGTCAGCTGTTGCTTCAGCATTGTCCTACCATTGACACAAAGTACACTTCTTCAGACCTCTCTTCAGAGTGCCAAATCCCCCCACATGCTGACCTACACATGGTGCTCATTGGCAAAAGTGGAGTAGGGAAGAGCTCTACAGGGAACAGCATCATTGGTAAAGAAGTTTTCAAAGTCGCAACAGTGGCTGCATCAGTCACAACAAAGTGTAACTTCCACATAAGAGCATTCAAGAATGCTGACAGCAAACTATCTGTACTGGACACACCGGGACTGTTTGCTACACACACTTCACCAAACAACGAAGAGATACAGAAAATGATTGAGGAGCTCTGCAAAATGCTAACTGTATTCTATGATGGTATACATGCACTTATCCTGGTAATAAGTGGCATGTCAAGGTTTACAGAGGAAGACAACAATACACTCAAGATTGTTCAGCAGATTTTTGGAGAAAGGTTCCTCGACCACACCATAGTCCTGATAACTGGGAAAGATGGTCTGAAGAGCAGCAAGGAGGAGTACCTGGAATCAACACCACCAACATTGAGGGACATTCTTAACAAGTGCCAGGAACGTTGCATATTCTTTGACAATGTCACAAAGGATGCAACCGTACGTCGCAAGCAGCTAGCAAAGCTGGTAACAGTGGCCCAAGAAGCTGTAAAGGAGAAGAATGGTCCATACACTGGACAAGGAGCACAAGAGCCACTCTTTGAGGAAGGTGAAAAGATGATGAATAGGATCATCTCAAATCTGTCAAAGGAAATGCCAAAGGATGTCCAAGGTCCAGACAACTCAGGAGGGGGAGAGACCAAGCATCCCCAGCATGCTGAAGTCCTGAGATCAGAGAATCTAATAGACAGGGCAAGGCAATATGCAGCAAGTGATGAGCACGAAGAATATCATTTAACAACAACAGCTAAATCATTCTTTCAGACAATAAAGCATATCTTCTTGTTCTAGGTTTTCAAAACACACTGACATACTAAATAATGTCACTGCATTGCTCAGTAACTGTGTACTCTAGAGTAATCAGTACTTGTGCAACCACTGAATCTCACTTGAAAGTTGAATGTCTCACCTGAAGAGAGACTGACATAATCAGTTTATCTACACAACACCAGCTCTTATTCTATTCAAGGATCCAACAATCCCATTTTCATAGGAGTGTCTGTCGGTGAGGAACACCTTTTCTGGATACTCTAATCCAGTTGAATTTAGAAACTAGGACAAAACATTAAACCTGACAGTGATGAGACACAAAACTTTGACAGTTTGAAATATAATTCTTTTCTGTAATAGGTGAAATGGATAATGAATGGGCTTGCTATTTGGCCCTGGCAAAGAGACATTCACTAAACATTTTCACTTGTCATATGTTCTTCTACTGTTTTAGGGAATTTCTTAAAGTTTGGTTAATTATATAATATGTACATTGCATACAGCAATAGACAGAAATATTTTGAATAGAGGACATTAATTTAAGTTTGCCTGGTGGCAAGAATAGAAAATGGAGAATAGATTGAGAGGAAGGAACTTGAACCAGGAACAAGAAGGTTGAAGCATTGATGACACTGAAGAAAGTTTGAACTATTATTTCCCAAACAAGAAGCTAGACTTACTCATTATTGATGACAGTTTGGACAATTCAAACAGAATGGCTACAAATATCAGTCTGTGTTAAGTTTGTTTTCTCTTGAAAATTGTGCATTAATATAGCAGCCATATGATACATGTAAATATCAAAATAATTGCAACCAGTTTTTTTTTTGAAACGAACAAGGACCACAGGAAAGAAACATGTTACAGTAATGGTATTATTGTTTGCTTCAAAATTTGTGGAATTCACATAACACACATTGTATCTAGTCATGTGGCAATAGGCTGATTCATTTGCAACATGATTGTATCTATAGCATTCTTGAATAGTATCAATTTAAAACTCTGATATTATATCTAAAAGTAGTATATGGACAAAAAATAGCTGTAACATGAATTTGATATGACATACAATCATAATGTATTATCATGACAATCCCCTAGTCTACCATGTAGTATCAACCATTAAAATGATGTTACAGTAATGTTAAGTAGCATTTTATTCAAGTCTATCTAATATAAAATTGATAAATAAATACTGCTATAACTTGTTATTTGGATGGGTCAGTTACTCTCTCCTTGGGCTGAATTATGAGGAGCTTACAATCTGTCATGTACAATGGGGTTAATGGAAGCTGCTATTTGGCACTAACTCAAGCGACGGTCACAACCCGCCGTACGTGCTTCTGCGTGCTGTCTACGTGGGCAAACGTAGGGCATCCATGCTTGGTGAGTACCACCTCCGTACGGAATCCTAAGGATTTTGGAGCACGCAGACACACCGTAGAACTTAAAGTGCATGTAAAACTTTTTCTACGTGCGGTCTGCAGATTCACCACCCGTGCGTGGGAGTACGAGCGACGTGCGTGCCCTGTACGTGCCGTGCGGAAGAAGCACGTGTGAGTACGGCCTCCTTACGGTAAAGTTGCAATCGCACAGAGATCGTACGTTGTAAGCATGTACAACTCACTTACCACTTGCGCAACGTACAATGCACGCAACCGCTCATGGCCAGACGTAACGTGCAGACCACACTCTTACACCTTGCGCAACCGTGCGATTGACGTGCGAGTGACGTGCGTCGATGCCACTCCTTCCCTACATTTTCAGAAAAAATGTAGCAGACGTAGCCTCCCAAAAAACGTACGGGCAAAAAGCACGTACGGCGGGTTGTGACCGTTGCTTCACTGACAGGTGACCTCAATACAACCCCAGGTGCAGCCACATTTAATTCTGTATCCTTAAGTGGGGCTTCAATCCAAAGGTTGGATCAGCTCAGATGTATTGTTATTTCAGATGGTGATGGTGACTTCAAGAATGATGGAGCTTCAGGCATTAGCATCAAATGTATGTGTCCTGCATGTAAAAGAACACTTATTTAAAAATGTAGGGCCGATACAACAGGTGTGCTTTGCTGCATTTGTACATAGCTTTACTAGTATACACAGTGACTGTCATAATACATGTACAGGCCATGCATTGAGCAAAGCCACACTGCACATCAGCACTACATGTATCTCAAGCATCATGCTTCAAATTTCACTGAAGAAGAGAAGTCCAGTACTGGGTTGCATCATCTGGGCTTTAGGCCACACCAAATTTAATTTGTTGGGTGTTGGATTTTTTCAGAAAAAATATGAAGCGACAGAGCGAAAAAAAAAAACAAAAACAGGTCTGGGCATCCTATTACAGCCCCAAATGCAATGATACATGTAGGAGGTATGTCAACACAAACGGCTTGGTTGATATTCAACCAATGAATTTTGAACTATTAATCAAACTACTGCATTGATACATTGAAAAACTGTTAACAAGTGGGGAAAAAAGCCTTTACTCAACTGCTGGGGGCAAAATATGAGCATTTTTGAGTTGATTCAGACCCAGAATTTTTTTTTTTTGAAAATCAAAAAAAAAAAGAGGGGAAACAACAAGAAATAACGAGAAACAACAAATTAAATTGGTGTGGCCCTACATTGTACCTTCTGCTACCTGGGTGACATGATTGGACAGTCTGGAGGCTGTACAGATGCGATATCAGCTACATGTAGGATCAAGTCAGCCTAGAAGAGTTTCCAGGAGCTTTTTTACCCATCCTGTACAATATGCACCAGGTCCTGTTATTTATCATGAATGTACAAAATAATGTATGATTGTCCAATTCACTGGGTACCTGGTGTCAAAAGTAACTGGTGACAAAAAAGGTGATTATCCTGTCATGATACCATAGTGAACATGGTGGCCCTTTCAGAAACACAATAGCATCTTGAAGTTGTTAGCTTAAAGCAAATAGTTTAATTAACAGTTGCAAGTGTGTGTAATCAATATAGGATAATAAAGGGTTA